CAGAAAGCCCAGCCCAGTTAATGGCCTGGCCAAAAGGGCCCACAAGTCTGGCTAGAGCCTCTACCAGACACTGCCCGCCGCCTTCTAGGCTCTGACAGTGCGCTGTGACTTAGCCTGGCTAACAGGGAATCAGCAGTGGGTAAAAAGGAATAAAGCAGGAAATCGCAGCTCAGACATCTCAGCACCCCCAGGGATCCTCCCCAGACTCTCCCAGACTTCTAGCCCTGTACTAAGAGGGTCTTTGGACCTGGGAGTCTCAGGTAATACTCCAAAACTCCGTATTTCCTGGGCAGTTCATGTGAGTCAGCTCCTGGGCTGAACTCAGAGACGATGGAGAAACAGAGCCTGCTCTTAAGGAAGCCACAGCCCAATGGGGTGGGTGGAGAAGCATGCCAGTGGACCAGAGGTGACAACAGATGTTTGTCAGCTGCAGAGGTCAGGGCAATGGAGTGAGCAGCTTCTTGGGGAGAAGCCAGAAAATTCTGCTCAGGGTTTCAAATGAGGGCTTGGGGAAGGGGGAACAGGGAAGAGGAGTGGAAAAAAGACAAGTGTGGGAATGGGGAAAGGAAACACATGCAGCAACCTGAAATCAGGTGTGTTGCTCTGCCACCCGAAGGCTGGCTGGGGTGGGAGGGAGGATGCCTGCCCAGGGAGGATGGCATTGTCTCAGGCCAGTGGAGAACATGGTGCCTAAGGCTCCAAGGCTGAACTAGTGACAGCAGCTGGAGCTGGGACTTCCTGGGCTTGGAGTAGGAATTCAGCCCCACCCTAAGGCAAAATCACTGGGCTCAAAGCTATCAGAAGTGGAAGCTGGGATGAAGAGAGGCCCTGAAAGGAAAGATAGTGCCTAGCCTGGCCTAGGGATTTGGAAGTTTAGCTCTTAGCATTCCCTTGGCACCCTGAGGCCCATCTCAGCCCCTCCAGGCCCTTCTGGGATCCTCAGCAAGCTGGGGGCGGGGCTGTAGCCTGGGCCTCGTGCCAGTAGAGGGCAGGGCTGGGGCCAGGCAAATGCTGGGGGCCAGTCCCAGTCAGGACTGTTCTGGAAGCAAGGGCATGTGGGTAGGGAAAGCAGGGTTGAGATAGGACTCCAAAAGTCACTCACAGACTCCTCCTCACTGCTGGGAGTTTTTGCCGCCATCTTATGGGGGACCTTTTCCAGGATGGGTGTCTTGGTGAGTCCTGGTCCAGGGATGCAGAGTGTGGACCTGGGGACCAAGAAGTGAGAAGCATCAACACAGCAGCCACATAGACCTATCACAAACCCTCCACCTCCCACCAACAGACCCCTACCCCAGCTCCATGAGGAGGCCAGAGCCTGACAGCGGTATATAGGGGTCTCATTGTAGGCCTGGCCCCAGCCTCGAGTTCCAGCTGTGTGTGCTGACCACAGTGTTCTCTCTGGGCCCCCATATGGGAGACAATGGTTTCTAAAGTGAGGGTCTGCTCTCATGGGGCTGTTGCCACCCAAGGCCAGCTGACCACCCCAAGGCAATCCAAATCCACCAGGGGTTGCTGGCGGAGTGCTGGTTTTGTTCCTGCGTGGAATCCAATAGATAAGTGCTTTGCTGATCAAGCTCTCTCTTTCCCACTAGCTTCTCAAGGGTAAGACCATACCTACTGTGCTCAGGGCTTCATCTCTGGGGCCTGGCCACATCTCTGGTGTGGAGTAGGGTGAATTTCCTCATTTGGTTGACTGAGGGAAACCAATGCATGTGTGGGTGAATGGAGGCCTTTAAGGCCCTGTGCTCCAGGATGCATCTGGGATAATTGGGAGCCTGACCTGTGGCCAGGGCAGGGAGACTCTGGGCCTGCTGGAGGGACTGTGACCTAGGCAGTCTCGGGTCTGCAGGCTGCCTGTGTAGATGCCATGGGAGTGCCCAGGGAGGTATGTAGGGAGGCAGGGCAGCCAGGGCCCCTAGGGGTCACCAGCCTTAGTCTGGGGAGAGGCAGATTAATTTTGAAGGTACAGTAGAAGTGAGCCAGGCCAAGAGGGCAAAGACTGTTATTATTAGGCTGTGGATCACAATTGCTATCCTCTGAGATCCCCCTGAACCTAAGCCTCCACAGGCACATACTGATGTTTTCCACCAGCCCACACTCTATTCTCTCTCAAATCTAAAGCTGATGTTTAGCTCATTTCCTCACCCCTCTCCCCGCCCAACACCACCCCTACCCAGAGGCAAGCATGGTCCACGTATGGGCACATGGCAGGGTTGTTGCCAGGAACAGAGAGTCTAGAAAGATGGATGAACCAGGCCCAAAGATGGAGGAGCCTGGGGCTGCCTTGCAGCGCTGGGCAAAGAATGTAAAGCCCTTGCTGACACAGTGCAGGGACACTCTCCACTGGCTGGTTCCCAGGCCTCCCAGTGCTGTGCGTTCGTAGGGGCTGCCCCCAACTGCAAAGTGAAAGAGGTGGCATCCTGGTGAGGATTCACCAGAGCATGGCAGTCTTTTGAGGGGACAGCAAGGACAAGGTCAGGTTGGAAAAGGACCTGCAGACAATGCAGCCAATGCCTCCTTTTGCTCTGGCCCAGACCCTCCCACCCCCACATTTGGGAGACACTAGTCAGGCCTCAGGGACCTTGACCATGAAGAAGAGGGCAGAACTGGGTGGGATGGTTTCCTGGTGGTCCCACCTGCCAGCTCCTCTTCCTGCATCACTACTGAGCGGATGCCTAGAGGGTGTATGTGTGAATATGTCTGTCTGTCTGTCTGTTTTGTGCCTCCCACCCATGATCCTGCCAGCCTGGCTTTCCAAGGGCTGCCTGCTCTGCCCGGAAGGTCCAACCCCAGTCTGGCCGGTCATCACAGGCTGTCATCGGCTATGTCCTGGCTCAGACTTGCCACCAGCGGCTGATCCTTCTTCCCTACCCCCTGCTCCCGGGAGAGGCGGTTGTGAACCAACAATTCAGGCCAGTCGGGTCAGACCCGCGGACCCTCCGACTAGACACAGAAAGTGCTTAGCAGATGCTGGGCCAAGTGAAGTGAGAACATGCGCTTGGAGTCCCGAAGCCCTGATGGTCAAGCCTCCCCAAGACCAGGCAAAGAAGCAGTGCAATCCTGCAGCTTCCCAGCTGACCCCCGACGGCCGCTGCTGCGCAGGACTCGGAGGATTCCACGAGTCCTTGGGCCTCTGGGCCCCGGTGCTGTCCCTGGATAGAGCCCCCGACCGCCGCCCTTGCTCCCGGCACCGCGCTCCGCCAGCCCAGCCCAGCCCTGCTTCTCACCTGCTCTCCTCGGCTCTGCTGCCTCGGCCGCCGCTGCACCGCACCACTCAGGAGTGTGGGCGGGGGTGTGAGCCGGAAGGGGTGGGGGGCGTGTCGCAGCGCGAGGGTGGGGGCTGCCGCCTGGGTTCCGGGCAGGGCCTCCGACGTCGCCCAGGTCCCCGCCGCCACCCGACTGGAGAAAGCAAGCTGGCCGCACTTCTCTCCTTCCTCTTGTTCCTCCTCCCTCCTCTCTCTTGCATTTCCTCCCTCCCGCAGGACCCCCTTCTTCTCTCTTCTTCGCGGTCCTCAGTCCCCCATCCCTTCCCCTGCTTCCCGCCCAGGGATCCCAGCTCCTGGCCCCCAGAATCTACCTGGAGGGCTTCCTGGAGGAACTAGAGCAACAAATTTAGGCTCTAGAAGGGGTCCAGAACACTGTCCCACCCACGCCCCCTGCCCCTAGCTCACCATTCTCCTGTCACGGCACTTCCCCAACCCCATTATTCTAGCCGTGGGGTGCTGCTGCTCAGAGTCCTGGAGAGGGTTGGGTCTGAGGAAGTCTCTGCTCTCTGCCCTCCTCTCCCCACCATCCAGGCCAGTCTCAAACCCTACTACACCGTCTTTCAAAATAAGAAGAATAAACAATAACTGGGTTCAATGTTCACACAGGACTTCCCTTTCTGTTACCATCCAATTCCTGCTGGCACTGTGGGTGGGGAGCAGAGGTGGGTGCTACAGACTTGGGACAATCCTAATGGCAGACACGGGGATGCTTAAGGACTGCGGCAAGAGGCAGACTTTCCTTTCAGACCAAAGCATCCCCCACCCCAGATAGAGACCCCCACACACAAACAGCACAGACAGACTGACAAAGGCAGACTCCGCCCAGGCACACACAGCCCGACTCGCAGATCGAGGACAGACATGCGCACAACTGCAGAGCAGACCCCCACAGAGGCAGCAAACACACAGGCGACCCTGACCAGCCGCTTCTTCATGCTGGGATGGGAAGACTCTGCCTCCATCATCAGACTACGGTCTTGGGAACAGGGAGTGTTGCGCAAACGCTGGCCTGAGGCTCTCAGGGCTGGGACTAAGGATGGGAAACTTTCCTGACAGTCCTGGGCCGCTGCTCCCACTCAGGATAGGGTGGCAGTGGGGGTTGGCACCAGGTCGCACACTCGCATCTCTCCCTTCAAGACTCAGACCCTCAGAACTGACAGGGACACAGCAAACACCCACCATGGCTCCCCAACTCCTCCTAGGACAGAGCCTAGTTCTCTAATAAACACACACATATCACATCATACACACATTTCCAGAGGTCGGACTCTAAAAGATGGGCCGTTTTTCTTCCTCTGCTGGAATGCTCGGCTCCTACTCCTTTCTGAAAGCCTGAACGGGGCGGGGATTCTGGTCTGAAGGGAAGCTCAGCCCAGGCGCCTTAGAGTTCTGTGGATGGTTTGAGGCGTGTCCTCAAAGGGCGGGGCCTGGCGTGCCCAGCTGGAGCGGGTCGTCAGGCTACTCCGGGCGGCACCCCCGGGCTCTGCGCTGGGCCTGGAAAGGAGGATCTGTCCTGGGCCCACGGGAGCATGGTGCTCCTTGGTAATCGTGGGTGACAGCCTTTGTTGGGTTTGCTTCTTTCCTATTCCCTTTTCCAGGTAGAAAAAGAGCTACAGGCACCTGCGTGTTAGTTTGGCTCAGGCCTGGTTTGGGACTTGGAGACGCAGTTCACCCTCCCCTCTGCTCTGGCCCTGCCCCCCACCAGGCACCCCCCACCAGTAAAGAGACTCGGCCTCCTAGGACAGACACGGTTTATTGATTTGGGCGGAGGCACCGCGGTGCAGCGGCCCAAGTTTGGCACTGAGAGCAATGGAAGGAAGGACAGACAGATGCAGGCTCTACACAGGGGAGCCACAGATGGGGACTCGGGGTCCTCATCACCTCTGCAAGGAGCGCGATGACTTCGCTTGCCTCGGTGCTCCAAGCCCCACTGGACAAGAGAGAAAGGGATATGGAGTGGGTCACAGGGAGGGGATTCGGGCAGAAGTCATGGTTGAGGAGGGGTTGGGGTACTGGCTGGAGGAGGTGGACCCTGAGCCAGAGCTGGCCCGTGGGCTTGCAGAGCAGCCCCCTTGACCCAAGGCGGGTGGGTGGGCTGGAGGAGGAGTGGGGATGCTAGCTGCGGGTGTAGTAGTAATTGTAGTCGTCCTCGCACTCGTCAAAAGGGCCAGGCGGGCTGCGAGGCTCGCTGTCCTGGCCAGACACAGGACGCTCACGCAGTCGCACCGCATCGTACAGACCTTGCGGTGGCTCATCAAGCAGCACATCGCGCTCGGAACGGGAGCGCGTCAGGAGACCCACGTTGCGGAGCAGCAGCAAAACGGGAGCATAGAGCAGGTTGGCCAGACCCATGCCAAGGCTGAGCTGCTCAAAGCCCAGCGAGTGCACAATGTGGCCCGCCACTATGGGCCCGAGCGCGTAGGCCACAGAATAGGAGATGTCGGCGATGGCATAGACGCTGCCATACACTGAGACGTGGCGCACGTCCACCAAGAAGGCGAGCGTGGGCAGCAGTGCTGTGTCGACTAGGGCTATGCCAAAACAGAGGCCGCAGAGCGAGACCACTAGCGGCGCGAAGGAGCGGCAGGCGGGCACGATGCACGAGCTGGCGCCGATCACAGCCAGCCCCAGCGCGCCGTACAGCCACTGCAGGTGTGGGTAGCGCGCCGCCAGGCGCACGGTGAGGTAGACGCCCAGCACATGAGGCACGAAGGCCGGCAGCCAGGCCATGCCCATCTCCCACTCGGAAGCCGCCATCGTATGCTTCATCCACGTGGCAATGGTGGGCTCTAGGAAGGCGAGGGGAATATTACAGGTGGTGAGCGCACCGGCCACCACGGCAATGTAGGGGTCCAGCATGAGGCGGTGGATGGGAGTGCCCACTGGCAGGTTGGCCCGAGCCCGTGCAGCCGCCGAGAAGGGTTTGGCCACCGCCAGCAGCAACAATGCGTCAAAGAACGACACGGCAGCTAGCACCAAGAAGGGCACGCGCTTGCCGGCGAACTCGTAGAGGATGCCCCCGAAGGGCGGGGCCACCAGGCTTCCGAAGCTAATGAAGGCCAGAGCCACGCCCAGTGCACGACTGCGCTCCGGCTCCTCCGGGTACTTGTCGGCGATCATGGCTATGCCAGACGTGTCGGCGAAGGCTGAGCCTAGGCCCTGCAGGCTGCGCGCGGCGAACAGCGTGGCGTAGTCCTCGGCGAAGGCGAACATGACCGTAGAGGCGAACATGACGCCCAGGCCGATGAGCAGCGGCACGTCGTAGCTCATGCGGTCGATGAAGGGCCCGCTCAAGGGGTTCACTAGCAGCTGCAGGATGGCCTTGGAAGCAAACAGCACCCCGATCTTCACGTCTTCGCTCTCCGTAGGGTAGCGGGGCCGAAGGGCTGAGCCCGCTGGCCGCGCAGCCGTCGGGGACGCCGAGGTGTTGGCCGCGTAGGCGCTGGCATTGGCCGGAGTGGGCAGCGGCAGGGTGGGCTCCCACACCTCGGGGGTCCGGGTGGGGCCCTCTCCGCCCCCGCGCATGTGGGCGATGTAGTCGGGCACGATGGGCACGATGACCATGTACAGCATGTTGTCCAGTAACAGCGCCACGCACACGATAACCAGCAGCAGGCGCCTCTGCCGCCTGGGCTCCTGCAGCGCCGCGCCCACCGCCTCCGACAGCTTGGTGGCCGCCGCCCGGGCCTGGCCCGCAGGTTCCGCGGGTTCCATGCCCCCACCCCGATGCTCTTCCGAGGACGCCTCCGCCAGGGCCGAGCGCTGGCGTCCCGCAGTGCAGAGGCGAGGGCACGGTACTTCGGGGAGGCGGTCCTGGCCGAGCAGACCCCCCGTGCCTCAGGTGGCCGCGGGGCTCATGGCCCAGCGTCCCGGCAAAGGAAAAGACTCCGTCCGGCTAGGCGTTGCCGCTATTCTTAGCGGTTCCCGGGACCCGCGGCTGCTGGGCTCAGGGGCGGCCGGGAAGGCGGGCGCGACGAGGGGCCGGGGCGGGAGACTGGGCGCACTGTGCCCGGAGCGCGCCCAAAGCAGCCCCCACCGCGCTGAGAGGCCGCCCGCGCTGGCCGAGGGGCATGCTGTTGCCGCCCGACCGGTTGCCCGCCCGTTAGCCCCGCCGCCGCGCTCCCCTCCCCTCGCGTCGGCTCTTGCCTCCTCCGCCGCCTCCTCTTTTTTTTTTCCTTTCCACTCGGGGCTGTGACGCGGCGAGTCCCAGCCCCCGAGTGGTGCCCGGGCCACTTGCGTCGCTCATGCTAATGCAACGTCCGCGGGGCGGGGGCCGGGGGCGGGGCGTGGCAGGACAGGGGTCCGCTCCCCAGATGCTCCAGGGCTGAAGGCCCAGGAAGGGGTTTCGGTGCGGAAGTCTTGAACCAGCCCCTGGGATGGGTGTTCCGCGCCCGGAGCCGGCCCTCTGCCCTTCCCCTGCCGGCCCCCCGCCCGCGGTTCTAGGACCCGCGGGGTCAGCGCCCACTCTTCTCCTCCTGGGGAGGGAGGCGCGGCAGCCTGTTCCTCCCGGCCCCTCGAGAGAGGCGGGAGCCGGAGGCTTGCGATCTCCGCCTCAGCCTGGACCTCGGCGCACAGCGGGCAGGAAGCCCCCGAGGTGAGCCGCCGCTGCGTCCATCTGTTCTCGCAGCTGGATTGTGGAGCGGCGTCCGGACGAGCGCTGGACACGGACACCCCCAACCCTTTCTCCGACTCCGCCCCCTGGCCCCTTGCACACACACCCCCGCCGGGAGGGGAGGGGAAGGCTCAGCAACTGCCTGGCCTGGCTCTGACCCACCGGCCCCTCCGCAGAATTTCTCTGCAGCGAATCCCTGCCGGGAGCTTGTGGGGACTGAGGGCAGAAGTTGCCTCGCCCCCATTCGGGGTCGCGAATATCAGCTTGGCCGCTGCCGCCCTCTCGCACTGCCTGGCCACACTCCCCCTGCCTGGAATCCCCCTTTCCGCTTTAGCGGTCGGGTCCCCCAGCTCCGCCTCTTCTCTCCCCGCCGCCGCACCCCCTCCCCACTCTAGCTCCTCCCAGGCAGTCTTCGCACCCGACCGAGCCCTCCCTCGGCTCCTGCCAGCCTCCGCCCCCTGTTCTGCACACTCCCCATCCCTCCTTTTCCAGAGCCTTCTCCAAGCCCCGGGTGGGCTCTGGAGTGACTGTGGCTGGGGTCCTCTCTTGGAACTGTAAGAAACCCTTCTTGGGTGCCGCGCCCACTCCCCGGAGAGCGCCCAGCCACTTCGCTGTCGTCAGAGGCTCCAGGGAGACTCACCTTTCTTCTGGGAGGGCCGCACTCCTTGAGGCACCCGTGCTCAGCTGGCAGGCCGAGCTGCCCAGGCTGTGCGCTGGGCCTGACGCGTCCCCAGAGCGGCGTTGACCCTGGATGGCACATGGAGGCCGTGTTCCAGTGGGCGGACTGGCGGGAGAGAGGCTCCAGGGTGGCTGAGGTTGGAGGTGGGGGTTGTGTTGTTGAGATTACAGTTTGCCTCTCTCTTCCAGAGTCAGAAGGGAGCCTTCTCATTTTTCTGGCCTCAAAAGCAAAGCAGCATTAGACGCAGATGCTTCTCCCATCGTGCCCCCCACCCCGCAGGAAGTGCCTCCATGCAGTGCAAAGAGTGTGGGCTTTGGAGGCAGACAACCAGGATGGCTCCCAACTCTGTCATGTACTCATTAGAGTACCTGCAGGGAATTACTTTGCCTCTCTGTCCCTCAGTTACTTTCTTTGTAAAATGGAGTAATAATAGTACTTACTGCTAAGGTGGCCAGTCACACAGTTAAGAGCAGTATAAGGACTTGATATGTTGTTGTAGTGTGTAGAATATGCGGTTTATCCTCATTTTTCAGTTGTGGGTCTTGTGAAGAACAGATGAAAGACACGGCGGGGAGGGGCACTTGGCTAGCTGGCTGATCCCTCTGGTTAGGTGGGCATTGTGATTCCAGGCTCTGTCTGGGTGGAGGACCCAGAAGACATTGGAGTGTCTCCATCTGTTCCTGAGATGGCTGTGGGATGAGGGGATGGGGACCATTGTGTCAGGGTGAGAGGGGGCAGCCTGGTCACCTGTTGCTCAATCCCTCCACCCACCCAGTCACCCTGGGAAAGGAGGAGAAACTCATCCACTGAAGGGCTGCTGGCACCTGCTCTGCAGTGGCTGAAGTGCCCTCTGTCTGAGGGAGGAAAAGAGTACCAGTGTGGGCACAGGCCTGGCCCTGGATGACCTTGGACAAGTCACAGCCCCTAAGTGGGGCCCAGCCTCAGCCTCCGCCTGGTTCAGGTTGAGGTGAGAGCCCACTCACTGCAGCCTTTAGCAGAAGTGTGTGCTGCAGAAGGGCTCTTTGGGGTGGGCTAATTATTTTAAATTTTATTTGATAGCCTTTCGTCAGTACATGCACACTCTCCAGCGCATCCTAGTCTCGCCCCAGCAGACTTCACACACTTAGGCCACTTGCTGGTTCTCTATTCATTTGAGTTTGAGACCTCTGGGCTCTTCTGACTCTCCCATTATGAGGCTCTTAAAGGGGCAGTCTCCCAGCCTACAAAACAATTACTATTTATGCACATGCTGTTTTCCCTGTCTGATTAAAGAGAGGAGGACTTGAAGGATAACTTTTTTTTTTTTTTTTTTTTTTTAATCTAGTGGCTGAAAAACAGAGGAATCTTAGAGGAGAGAAATTTTCCCAGGGCCTTCAAGGTGCAGACCACATCTCCAGCCCTCTGGCCCACATGGCTGTTCCTGAGCATGAAGCCAAGTTGTCTGGGGGCTCATGACTAGCTCTCCAGTCCTCAGTTCCTGTGTGGCAGGAGGCACACTCATTTATTACTTGCTTTGTGCCAGGAATATTATGTGTGCTGTTTACTCCATTCTCCCGCAATCCAGGTGCAGTGTAGGTGCTATTCCTCTGGTCTTACCAGGTGAGGAAGCTGGGCATGGAGATGCTGGGTTGCTGGGTCAAGCTCCCAGCAGCAGATCCTGGAATTAAACCCAGGCTGGGGGACCTGTTTTGTGGTCCGTACACTACTTCCCTATTCCCAGCACTGCGTTGTGCTCCTGCTGCTCCATCTCCAAGGTGGCCGCATGCTGACAGTGTAAGGGTGAGGGGCAGATGAAGACCCATGGGAGGAGGAAGGTCCTGGGCTGGCTCCCTAAGGAGGCTCCAAAGGCACTAAACTCCCTCATTCTCTAACTTCCAGATCAGAGGGCAGCCCCCCACCACCTCAATCCATCATGGCTCCAAATACTGGGGTGCCGGGGTTGCAGGGAGGCGAGAGGCCCCTGCAGCAAAAGGCTACGGAGGGTCTGAGCCGAGATAGGAGCTGGCAAAAGCCTCCTCTCCCAGCCAGCTGCGGGGAGCTGTCCAGGGTTCTGGCCCCGGCCCCACCGCAACCAAGAAGCCTCACACGGAAACCTGGCCCCTCTGGCGTCCCCTTCATTGGAACGCTTGGTAAATTCCTTTCCCGACTCCTCTATCTGAGCATAACTTGCAGGCAACAGAGAACTTCCCATCCAATCCTGTAGGAGAAAATGGAAGCATTTTTCTCTCCTTTCTCAACCAGAAATAGCAGCTATTAGGGCAGCATTCATATCTGGTACTCAGTGAAAGTTGAATGAGCAGAGGAAGGAAGGAACGTGTTTACTAGACACACAGAAGAGCTTATAAGGCATCAGGCACCGTTCTAAGCATTTGATAAACATTAACTCATTGAATTCTCTCACCAACCTTCATATTACTTTCTTATAGGCAAAGACTCTGAGGTAAAGTAATGCATTCCGTCAGAGAGCTCACAAGTGGTAAAGATGGGATTCACATGCAGGTGATTTAGTTCCAGCATCCTGCTCCCGGCCGCCATGTGGCCCTGCTGCAGGATGGCTAAAGACTGTGAGATAGCTCGCTTGAAAGTGTCTAGCCCAATGCCTGATACCTAGTAGGAGCTTAATTGTTATTATTTTGTATGGATCAGGACAAATTGGTGATTTCTAGTTGACAACGCTTCTTCTCATTTTATCCACAAGATACAACTATGTCCACAGTCTGATGGACTAAAATTTCTTCCTTGCTGGATCAGTGCCATGTTGGGGGTGGGGGGCTTGCTGGGGACGGGGGAGTCCTGGTGTGTGGGAGTTTGGGAGGGGTGGAAGGATAGCCATGCTGCACCAGTGCCTGGGTGAGGTCTAGGGGGTATTTGGAGGTCTTGGGTGGGTTGTGGTGGGGGGGGGGGGTGCTGCTGTGGAGGGAGGTGCCAGCCCAGCCTGGCCTCATTTCTGAGAAGGTCATGGGGCCATGTCAGTTCCAGGGCTTTGCCATTTGTTGCTTCCCTGAAACATCTGGTTCTAGAGAGGTGAAACCACTGTATTTCTGTGGAGAAACAGGCTGGTGTTGATTATGGCAGTGTGTGGGTGGGGCACCTGCTCCTGATTTATTATTTCTTTGTCTCTCTGGAAGCACTTAAGCACAGGCTTCATTCCAATCAAGCTCATGAGCCTCTCTGGATTCCAGCACTGGGGGTGGGGGTGCAGTTTGCTCAGACCTCCATAACCTGTCCCCTGTGCACTGGCTCAGGCGGGCCTCAGGGCCTCAGCATCATTTAATTAATTTAGGCTTCCCCAGTCATATATTCTCAGATTCAAAGGAACAAAGTGGCCCGAGTCAGCCTTTCCCAGAAACCTGTGAGTCTGGTGGCTGGAAGCCAGAGGACTACGTGCCTGCCTGCCTGCCCTTGGCCAGCCTGTCCTCGGTGCCCAGACTTGCTTTGTGTACAACATAGCTGGGCTTCGATACGGAAAGAGACTGCAGGTGCTGCTTTGTGAGTGGGCCCCACGGCTCATCTCTACAGCTCCCAAGGGACAGGACCTTGCTCACTTGCTATTTTCTGGCTCCCTGACACTAACTATGAATCATTTGTTGAAAGCATGGCCTCCAAATCCCTTTGGTTTCTGTTCTCTCCACTTTCTTTCCATCTCAATCCAATTAATGTCTCAGATTCATTTCCTTCCTACGTTGAGACCCTCCCTACCTGCCCCCAGCCCAGATCCTACATCTTCCCCCACACTGGGACAGTTAATCCCTTCACTTGTTTCTTGCCTCCCGACCCTGACAATCCACCTCTGCAGGGATGCCAAGCTTCTTTTGTCTGCAAAGTTTCAGGCAAGCTTCTAGCCTGTTCACAGACCTCTCAGGTTCCCCTGCTGCCTGGGACTGGAGTCAGCATCATCTCCCCACATGGTGGCCTTCCTTCCACAGTGTCTCCCACCCTTCCCATCTTCATCTTCCCTGACAGGCCCCAGGAGCTCCTACCTCCACACCTTTCAACCAGTGTTGCCTTGGTTCCTGCCCAGCTTTGCATCTCCTTGGTTGCCATATTCTTCCCTGATTCCTGATACATTGTGAACATGTCCCCATCCAAACAGATTTTCTACTCCTCTTCTGAAATGTATCCCACACCATGTTGGAGGTGTTCCCCTACACCTCAGAGCCCCTTGCAGACAAGATCTGTATTCTGTTTGGTAGGCATTCTGTACAGCACTGGCCACAGCATTTTGCATGAGAACTGATGTGTCAGTGGTTTTTAAAATCCATCTCTACATTTATTAGAATGAAAATTAATCATGTGATTCATA